TTGGGACTGAGTGTGCACCTGTAACTGTAATGAGGACAACATTTTGTGTAAATAATGAAACTTACATGGATGAGATAAATATGATGATTTATTTGGGGCACATTAAGGTAAAAGATTAAAGTTTGAAAGACCATATATTGCATAGAATGTCTTTGCACTATTGGTTGAGATTTAACACCCTCGGGCTACTTAAAGAATAAAGACAAAAACTTCACCAGGCCTTAAAAATAAACACTGTGCAAGAGGTGTTTGTAAAATAAATTCCACTGATATCAATATTTGTTGTTGTTGCAGAAATCTCTTACTAAATAATAAACCAAAAATTGGGTTAAAAAATCGATGCAAGCCATGTAAGTGACATTTTCAGAATACGTTTTTTTTAAAGTGGATTGCAACTGAGATAACAATTCACTAATACCAGCAAGCCCAAACATAAGACAACTATAAGCTAATGAAACCCTTATATACTGTAAATGTTCATTCAACGTGGTAAAAAATAAACTATCAACATGTTTAAGCTCAAAACAAAGACACATACTAGAATACAACTTAATAAATCGATTAAATAAGAATAACCTGAAAAAATAAATACAGAACAGAGACTGAGATACCTGCAGCAGCATGTTTGGTATTTCAGAACTGAACACCTCCCCCTGCTGGGTAAAACAACGGCACCAGCAGTTACAGTGTTGTTTATAGAATGGCAGTGAATAACTACGGGTACAGCTTCATCACAAACAATAAATGAGTACAAATGTCAAATCAACGACTAAATGGCTACAAATGCAACAGGTTAGTCCAGTGTAAGGAAGTGAGTACAGAAATAGCTATGGCGATATTTTCACAGCTGCATGGTCATCATCAAATTCTATATGTTTGTACATTTATGAAACGTCAATACAAGGACAAAAATCCAATCAAAATCAAACTCTAATAAAGATCGATGTAGTTTTGGAGAAAAAAAAGATCATGGGCACTTTACCACAAACCATTCACTGCCCTCAAAAGATCACTCCACATGGAAACAGCTAGCAATGCCTGCTAACCTGTAAAACTTATAAGTTAACATGTGACACCATGTTTGTTTCAAACCGACAGATTGAGACGCTCAACTTGTTTTTAACTTAGTTTTTGAATAGAATGAAAAAAAAGTATAACGTCACAAATAATATGTCCTAAAAAGGTGCTAGTAGGTATTTAACAACTGGTTACATTTGTTTCCCCTTGTTAACTGCTTCCCCTATAGCAAGCATTCAGTTAGCTTAGCTTAGCACAAAGAAAAAAAACAGGGGGAAACCACTAGCCTGGCCTGCTAGCCTGTAAAGCTTGCCAATAAACTTTGTAACAAATCAAAACACCCTACTCGGTTAAATGTTGTTTTTTTCGTACAGATTGAATCAAATGTGTAACGCGCAAATTAATGTGTCTTAAAAAGTTGCTGGTAGGTATTTTTTATCCAGTTCCCCTTGTTTCCAGTCACTAGCTTAGCAAAGTGGCTGCTGGTTGTAACTTCATATTTACAGTACTGACACATTCCTCTCACCAACACGACCCATGAGACTTCATGAAAGAGGGAAACAGGCAATGACAGCATGCTGTGAGGGCCAAGCTAGCATCACTCACAGCATCGAAAAGGAAGGCATTAAAACGTTCAACAAAGTAGTCAGAGAGAGATAAATGAGGCCATTTAGGTCAACAATCTCCTTCCACGAACATCTATAATCACTAATTACTAAAATTCCATTCTTGGACAATGTAAAAACAAACATAACCATCTCCATGGAAACTGAGCAACCTCAATTTAATAGGAAGTGGACATCGTGTCGACAGCTTTGTTTTCAAAGATCAGGAATTCATCTCGAGGCACAAGTTCGTCGAAAAAATTGACAATTTCAGGAAATATGTTATTGCAGTAGTTTTGGGATCATCTGTCTTCACATTATTTGGGATGAAAGCAAATCAGATAATCGTTACTAGCACTGCAACTTCCTGTACGTATGAATGAAAATGAAACAAAATCGTAACTCCATACTCCTATTCTACAAAAGCTATGTCTAATTTGATCTGGTGAGATGAAAATGATCCTCTCCCAAATGGCGAATGTGTTTTTTGGCTTGTTTTTGTTCCTGTACATTTGAATACGACAAATTGTTCACAATACTGTAACACATATTGCTGCCAAAGCTGTTGTGATGAAGAATATAGCAAATAAAAACATAAGAGTCTGACTACAACAGTCTACACCAGCAATGTTGAGAAAGTGCAGGTCTGTATGTCATCCAGTGTTTGAGCTTCAGTGTTCAGCTACCAATGTATCAGAGGCCAAGGAAAAATGTCAGGCACTGGCTCTTAGTATCACAGTGCAGATGAGTGTTTGTGTGTGTGTAAGGGTTCGAGTGTGTTTTCCAGCATTCCAGGAGCTCTGATGATTTGCTGTGGTGTCTGTGGCCGAGTCCTCGTGGTCATGCTTTCTGTTCCAGAAATCCAGAGCTTTTCCTTTAGTGTGTGAGAGAGGGGGCTCCTGGTGAAATTTTAGCTTAATACAAATCCAGATCCCTGTTACCGTGAGCCGTTTCTCAGATTGGGGTAACGCTGAGGTCTTCGGACAGAGAAAAACCTGAGTCTCTGTCACGAGTGGGTTTCTCAGCTTTGGCGTGTCTCCTCACGTCCTCGTGGCCATAGCTGGCGTGACGCTTCAGCAGTAGTTTGGGCACACAAGAGGAAGGGGTATGGAGGCTTAACGTCAGTCCCAGGCTGGTCCCCGAGGAGACACTTGGGGCAGAGCTGGTGTTTGTGATAGCTTCTGAACCTTTGGGTATAACCAGGGGCAGACTTTCTGCCTCATAGCTTTGCTCGTCATAGGCATAGTTGACATTACCACAGGGGAAACTCTGGAGCTTAGCCAGGTCCATGCCAGCTTTCGTGGTCCCACCTGCTGAGGTCTTATGTGAGGATGTACTCTGGGCAACTTGGGGCTGGCAAGAAGGGGATTGAGTTGAGGAAGTGCAGAGGCTGGAAGGGCTGAGGTGGGAGCTGCTAGTGCTGTCACTCCCAGCCTCGTTGCTCTCTAAAGCTGGGATGCAGGAGGTGTTGGTGGACGTGGAGCTGGAGAGTGGCATGGACTGAGTATGAGCCAGTGTTTTCTTCGCTCTTAAGTTTTCCAAAACCCAGGAGCTGTATGTGGGGTTCCACAGGTTCTTGGTCTTGTTCTTCAGCCTCTGGCTCCCTGAAGAGGAGCTATTCCTGGAACAGGGTCGGTGGTGCAGAGGCTCAGGGTGGAGCCAGTGGCTTCCTGCTGCTGCTGTTGACAAACCAGGGGCAGGAACAGGCTCAGCCCAGGACGGCTGCAGCGCCTCGCGGTATGATGTCACCTCCTGGTGGACAGGTTGGATTCTCTGGAGGAGTAGACGAGGTTTGGTGGGTTGTGGAGGAAGGGGAGTAGAGCCTAGGCCCAGAGAGGAGAGCCCCAGCTGGGAGGGGGTATCTTGGGTAACAGGGTGGGTTACAAGGAGTGGTGTGAGGCTGCTGGAGGTGTGGTCAGAGGGACGGATTACTGCGCTGCCATCATCGTCTGTGTTGGGGCCATATTCCACTGGAAGGGGTGTGTTGATCACATCTGGGTCCTGATAAAGAAATTTATATTATATGAAAATAATAAGAATCAATATTTGTGAAAGTACAAGGAAGGAAACTAAGAAGAAAATAAAAAAATCTATTTGAACAAATCATTACAAAGTTAATGTAATATAAAGAACAGGATACCTGAGTGCAGTAGTTAATTCTCTCGAGGATAGTTGAGAAGTTTGGTCGGTGCTCGGGACAGTGCTGCCAACACTGGGTCATGATCCGATAGCTGCACAGAAACACACAAATTCCCACATGTGTGTTATATAGACTGCATTTTTAAATGTCATACAGTTCATCACTTTGGAGAAGAGATGCAAAGAAAACTTCAGACATTTCCATATCAAAGGTGGTCGATGAGGCAGATTCAGTGCCATCATCTCTCAAGACTTTTGGCTACAAAAATAAGTCTCGCAGTTTTTCTAAAGTTAAATATGCACAAGCTTTTATCCTGAGTGGAGTTGAGATCCCAACTTAATCCCGAACCTCAAGGGAAATATGACGTCCTAAGTGTGAGTGTTTGGCTTGAATATAGTGTAGAGACTCTGCAGCAATCACATCTCATTACGGTGGCTGAGGCTCACAAGGTAGAGTGGGTCGTACATTAACTAGAGTGTTGGTCGTTCGATCCCCTGCTCCTTCAGTCTGCTGAAGTTTCCTTGGGCAAGACACTGGGCCTTAAATTGTCCATGTGAATAGAAGCGTTGTGTGGCTGTGACTTGTACTGTGGAGCACTTTGAGTGGACAATAGGACAAGTACAGCTCTACAAAGATGCAGTCCATTTAACATTAACATTTAACATTTCATTTGGAAATCAAAATTTTTAATTGTGAGTGACAAATTTCACATCTACATATGGAATACACTGGTTAATACATGCAAGTCTTTCAAACTCAAATTCTAATTATCAAAGATAAACATCAGAACAAAAGATAATAAGTTGGTAGGACCGCAGTTGATTAAGTTGGCCTCACAAATATAGTGCAGTAAACTGAAATTTTGAGTTTTCCTAACTTTTCATATTTTTGTCCATTTAAATTTTAATTAAATGAAACATTTACATTGAGAAAACTCTTTGTGCCACTGTAAAGAATTGCAAATCCAGCCCACTTAAGTCGAACTAAAACAATTTCAGTTCTCTGCTCTGCTTAGAGTTTAAATCCAGGCTCGAGCAGTTTGATGTATTTGCTGTCAATACTCACACAGGCCCTGGGCAGCCTTTGGGAGGATCCATTCTCCCTCCGCTGGTGACAAACTCTAGCACCTCCTGGTTGGTTTTACAAGGATAGGGCATATAGCCCAGGGATAGGATCTCCCACAGCAGCACTCCAAATGACCTGCAGGGGGAGACACAGATCAACAACTGACTGGTTTCTATCACTGACAGATAATTGAGAGGGGAGACATGCTGAACATTTCCCTGCTTTCGTGAGCTTCAGTTAACACCAGAATAAATACTCAGTACAACACAAACAACTAAAGATGTCGTCTCATCTTGGCCGAAGCTAGAATTCACCACATCTGCATCAAACTACAAATCTCTATGGTCATCACCTCAATGTGGTCTGCCTTCTGACAAAATGAATGTTTGTTTCCTGCAGTGTAATTACAGCTGAGTCACACTTCTTTCTGATCAACAATTACAACCTGGCATTTTTATCATGTGCAGTGTGATTGCACTTCCTGTAAGTTTCTGAATCACCAAAACAGAAACCGCTAATAGAAAACAAATTGCCTTTTAGTGTAATTATATTGCTTGGATTTGATTAGCCAGTGTACATAAACAAAAACTGTTATATTTACTTGAGCATAAATTGAAACTAAAGAGTCTCCATTGTGAACACTTTACGAGTTATATTTTCTAGCACTGTGTTTGAACCTCGCAGATGGTGAAGTGTGATGTGACGCATTTCCCCAGTGTTGTTCCCTGAGGTTCAGCTCTGGTGAGTGGATGGGAAGCCCCACAAGCACTTGTTGTTTTCATTGGTTGCGGATGAAAATCTCGCTGGAAAACCATTCCTCTTCCAAACAGCTTGAAGCAACAGTGTCTCTCTGCTGAGTTGAGCAATACTTTTTTGTGGTCAAAGCAAAGCTGACGCTCCGCACAATTCCACCCCTGTGTTTGACAGCGCTGCCCAACGTCCCTGCATTCAAATTCTGATTCAATTTATTAACTTCAGACTGTTTGCGGAGTTTATCTGAAAACAAACCTATCTTTTAGTTTTCTTAAAAAAAAAGTTGGATTGTTTGCTGAATTTCTGACGTGATTCTGACGCGTATAGAGAAGTGGTTTGGTTTGGACACTGCTCAGCTGGCTCTGTTTTTGAATACTGATGCTGCTCTGTCTTGTTAAAACGTTCACTTGATATATGGCTCTTTAGATGTTGAACTTGATGCAGGTCTTTGTCTAGAAGTAACATGATTTGATCTGGGAAAAATCTCTTCGGCAGAACGACAAGAAGGCTTTTAAATTAACTGGAATTAAGAGCTGGGAAACTTTCTACCACTCACAAGAGAAACAATGTAGAAAGATGAAATTATTTTCAATAAGAGCATGTGATGATGAAAAATTTCACACAAAACTGATGAGGCTGTTTGAATGATGTAATATTATTCAGGTTTTATAAAAAGGCCTGCAAATTTATGACAGTTGTGATTATACATTATCTATTATCTAGTGTCTTACATCACACTAGAAGTACTGCCCTGTGGTTGTATACCTCCTCTTATTAGTGCAGTGTCAGTCTACGATTTTGCAGATATGAGGTCACAGACCTTTAACTAGTGAAATCAGTTCATCTCTGAGTCCAAGTGACAACTGGTCATAACGCATCATGACAGGTAGTGTACAACCGCTCAGTAATTGAGCAATAAACCATCATGCATTGCGCTTGCAGCGGTGAGACGAGGGGAGAGAGGGCAGCAGGAACAGCCCGACCTATCATATAAATGAAAATGCGAGCAGAGCAGCTCATTGCAGCACAAACTGCTTCAAACAAGTTTATTTCTACATTTAAAGATGGTCTTTCAACATGTATTTTTTACATTTAAGTATTGATACTCGTTCACAAGGCAAAAAACAAGTTATGTTAAGTCACAGTAACCCTGACCTTCGATTACAAATTCTATTTAGGTCATCCTTGAGTTCAAGTGAATGTTGGTGCCAGATGTAGTGAAATTCCCTATGGGCATTCCGGATATATCATGTTTACAAGAATGAGGTCATCATGACCTTGACCTTTGACTTTCGACCACCAAAATCTAATCAGTTCATCCATGAGTCCAGGTGAACATTTGTACCAAATTTATAGAAATTCCTTGAGGGGGACAGACAAACCTAATAATAATGCCTCTTACTGTCGCCTGATTGGAGGCATAAAATATAAAAACTGTATCCAATTTAAACACATCCTCTTCTTCTGTGTATTTAATCTGGATGCTCCCTGTACATATCATGTGTTTGTATCATGTGTTTCATGTTTATACCATGTATCTGTCTTGCAGGTGAAGATTCCCTCCATAAAGGCCTCTGGTGGCATCCATTTAACTGGCAGCATGGCGCGACCCCCTTTCCTGTAATAGCTGGCTCTAGGAGAGGAAAAGCAGCACTGTCAGATGTTGAAAAGTCCATTTATCATCAGTTTACAAGAGAAGATAAGTACCACAAGGGCACAGACTCTAAGTGCATATTAGATACTGGTCCCATGGGGGAAAATAGAGGCCTGGACTCTGGCTGCCCTGAGACACATCATTGTGAATCAACCAGGATGCTTTGCTTTGAGGACTTCAAAAGGTGCTGATTCATTGTACAGACCTGTAAATATCCCGTGCCATGCCAAAGTCTCCAATTTTAGCCACACGGTCTGGTCCAGGGCACGTAAGCAGGCAGTTTCTGGCAGCAATGTCTCTGAAAAACAATAGAAATCATGTTTCTCCTCATCATCATTTTATAATATTTAAAATACAAAAAACCCCATCAATTCTTTTTTTTAAACAAAAGCAGTGCCCTAATGATGATACTGGTTCATGTGCTTTTGTTGCAAAAAGTTGACATTCTCCGACCAATTCAAAACTCAATACACTCTCAACTGGACACACACACACACACACACACACACGCACGCACACACGCACACACACACACACACTCTCTGAGCTCTCAGCAGTAATAATGGTGTGTAAATATGAACCTGTGAATAAAGTGGTTCTCCTCCAGGTAGCGACAGCCACAGGCGATGTCTCTGGCGATCCGCAGCAGCTCCCGCATGGTGAGAGAAGATGTCTGGCCCTAAACACGGGACAGTTCAAATTAATGTACAACACACAGACACACACATGTACATGCACAGAAAGATACAGTGGAGACGTACAGCTCGTGGCCTGTTCTGTCTCAGAAAACTCTTCATGTCTCCTCCAGTCATCAGTTCCAGCAGGATGAAGCGAGGCAAGATGTTGAGACTGACGCCAATGCAGCGCACAATGTTCTCATGGCTGAACTTGCTGCACGGACAACAGTGAACATAACTTGGATTAACATGACTGCAGTTGTGTGTATAAAAAAAGATTATTATGGACTTTCCATAATCTCAGTGCAGCAAGACATACAATGAATGTGAAATGTATTGACATTTATTATAAAACTATAATTCATTTTAAGATTTAATCAGTGTGTGGGTATAGAGGACAGAGTTGTTTTGAGAAATTAAACAAATATACCAATTTGATGCATGCTTAGTTTAAAATAATCTTTCAGAATGTTTCAGATTCAAGAGACTTACTTTTTGTGCTGACAAACTTTTGGGCAAATGAAAAATCTGATGGACTCAATGTAATCAGTTCATCTTTTGAGTCTAAGAGAATGTTTGTACTAAATATGAAAAAATGTCTTTGACCTGATCTTAAGATATCATGTTCAATAAAATATAACAACATAAACATCTGAGTCCACTGTGACCTTGACCTTTGGCCTTTGGCTACCGAAGTCGAATCAGTTCAACTTTCACTCCCAGTCAATATTTGTACCAAATTTGAAAACATTTCTTTAAGGTATTCTTGAGATATCCTGCTCATGAGAATGAGACATACGGACGGACAACACAGAAACTTTTTATGCCTCCCGTCACTGGCATAAAATCAGTTGACAGGGGCCATTGTTGTTCTTTTATGACAGATAGCAGGCGGAATGCAATGAACAACAGGGTAAAATACTTTTCCTGTGCTAACAAAGCTGTCCTTGTGCACAGTTTAATAAGTATAACAAGTCAAAGATGTTTTTTATGTCTGCTCTATATTTAGTCATTAAGTAACTTCCACATTGTGTTTGACTTTAGTGATCATGTGTGATTTAAATTCACAGTCTCTTTGATCAACATCATCTCTTAAGACACAAAAATCCCCAACAGATGTTTATGAATGAGAATAATTACACACATTTAACAATTAACATCACCCGGCTCCCTAGTAGAGCTAAATGAACTGTGTGTTATCGTTTCTCTCCTCAGATCACATCTTTGTCCTTTAGACTTTCAACTAACTGTCCTCTTTAATCACTCAATGACGCCAGTCGTCTGTTCTACTGTGGTGTGGAGTACCTCATTATCAGTGCCTCCATCAGGAAATCCATTTCATCTTGTTCAGAGCAGATTTCTGGAAGAGTCTGTGGAGCGGATAGCACAAGAGACTGTGTTTTATTGTCAAGAGGAAACATATCCATCCATTATATATAACACTTATACTTTGAGGTCACCAAGGGGGGCTGGAGCCGGTTGAGATTGGCCGTGAGGCAGAGTAGAGACAGGTCATTATTGTTTGCCTTCTGAAAGTGTAGAGGTGCACACTCAGTCCACAGAACCCTGAAGCTGTGCCACCGCTGCTGCACATTGATCTCGTCTCAGAACACAGAACCCTGAACTGGAGGATCAGTTGCTACTGTCATGAAAGTACTGTTGTGGTGATGGACAGTATAATGTTGATGAATCCCAGCCGTGGCATCTACAAAGCGTCTGGATGTCTGTTTATTCCGTTTTTACGGTTTATTACTATGAAGTGTATTGTGTTTCCAAATTGGACCAAAGTCAACACTGCGCCTCCTAGAGCCCTGAACTATACATGTCAAGTGTGAAATCGGTTCTTGAGATATGTGAGCCACAGGCACACAAAGGCAGATAAAACCTACTAATTCAAATTCCATATTCCTTTGGTACTGAGGAACAGGATTAGTGCAGTGGGATGTTGTTGTTGTTGTAATATAACATCTAGTGAGGTGCTATCACCTGGCGTTTAATGTGCCTTTCAGAGCGTGATCTTACCTTTATGGCCACCTGCATGGGACTGTTGTCACCGCTCATCCCCAGAACTTGTCCTTCATAGACTTCACCAAATGCACCATGGCCGAGAGCTCTGAAAAATAAATAAAAATTGAAAAAGAATGGAAAATCCAACAACCGAAGAGTTGATTGGATGATCAGAACTCTATGTACTGACAGTATGGGTTTTAATTATCACTTTGACATTGTGTCCCTTCGTGTCCTACCTGAGCAGCGTGATGTTTTTGCGGGGCACTTCCTTCAGTTCACTGAGTGACGCAGCCTTCCCCGCAAAACAGTAGTTGGGGTTGTAGTCCGTCATGATGGTGGACGAGCGAATCTTGCTCAGCTTGTACTCTGGACTCTGCAGACGCCCCCTCACTGCATGCAGGTCGTTCTTTCTGCGGTACCACACTGCAGACAGAGATGAGACAGAGGGACAAACACTGTAGTTTTACTAAAAAATCATAACCCTGACTGTCACCAGGACTCCATACTTTGTATGCGAGGTGGTAGAAGCAACTTCCTGACAATCTGCTAAAGATAGGAGCGGTAACACAAGGAGGGGTCGAGCTGCATCTCAATAGTTCATGCTGTTCTGTGGCCAGTGGAAAAACAGTTTAAGTGAGACTATTGATTCTCAGGCATTGATTTTGTTTTTAAAAAAAGGACTCCACCCAATTATAACACTGCCAGACTCCAAATGACGATTTTTTCATTTCCCTGTATTCTGCTGACTAGTTTGAAACTACCCACAATCCAATGACAGCTGTAAGTTCGGTTTGGTATTTGCTAATATAACCTTGAGTTGCGAACTTCGAGCTGCGGCGAGGAGTCTTAGGGTGCAGTCACATAAAGGTAAAAGTTCACCAAAGCTAAACCCTACCCGAAGCCACGCTGCGATCTGCCTCCCCACAGGAAGCAAATGTTTTATTCACTTCTTCACTCGCACAGATTGGATGTGAACCAGGAGACGAAGGTTCGCCTGCCTCACCTTTTTCTAACTGCCCCCCACTAGATTTGTTCTTAGACTTCTTGAGCCCCAGCCAACATTGCTTCAAGTGACATCACGTGAGGCACAGATTTCGCACTAGAGCCATGATACACTTTATACAACTTTTTTTTTACCTGAGCCATAAAGGTTATGTTTTGTCTATCTGTTATTTAGCAGGATACACTCCTGAACCAATTTCCACCAAAGGAAGGACGCAGTATGGGCCAGAGAGAAACCCAGAAAATTTTGGTGTGGATCTGCATTGGGGGCAGATCCAGAAATTCTTTAACATTGTGAGATAAAACATTTTTCACGATTTTTGTTGATTTCTCAGCAAATAATTCATGATTCTCGAAAAAAAACAACAAAATGTGTAAAATTGGTGGAGTCCCCTTTTAAAGAAGAAGTTTTGTGGGATGCATGTGCGATGCCCTCTCCTTCTCTACTGCTCCTACACTGTCTGTGCCAGTGAGTTTGGACTCACCCGCCGCAGAGGCAGCCCGATGCAGGTTGGTAGTCTGCCAGGGAGGGGGTGTTGCGTGCAGGTAAGAGGTGCCGTCGAGCCATCGCCCGGTGCAGGTGCTAGGGACTCAGGGGGGTCGGGAATATGGGGGGATGACGGGGGAGGGAGTATGAGGTGGAGGAGGAAGAGGAGGGGGTGGAGGAGATGGGATGCCCAGGGAACAGACTACCTCCCTGCATGGGGGAGAGCTTAGGTGAAGAGACACCGTTAAGCTGGAAGTGTGTGTGTGTGTGTGTGTGTGTGTGTG